ACGTCACAAGAGCTCTCACAACCTACGTCCTGCAGCTGAGCAGGTTCCTCTAATGAGAGCCAATGTAATCTCACTCTGGTCACAAGGAAAGAAACAAAACGAAAAGGAGGACTTGTGGCACCTTAGAGACTAACAAATTTATCTGAGCATAAGCTTTCGTGAGCTACAGCTCACTTCATCGGATGCAAGAAAGAAACAGTGTATCTACCAGATTAAGCACAGAAGCAAGAGATTCCTGCATTCTAACCCTGGTAGCTGAACTTTCCATTCAGTAAAAAGAAAAGGAGTACTTGTGGCACCTTAGAGACTAACCAATTTATTTGAGCATGAGCTCACGAAAGCTCATGCTCAAATAAATTGGTTAGTCTCTAAGGTGCCACAAGTACTCCTTTTCTTTTTGCGAATACAGACTAACACGGCTGTTACTCTGAAACCTTTCCATTCAGTATGACTGACTGAAATTGTAAGTTTTCCCTTGTCAGGGAATACTATCAACAGAAGCAGTCTGACTGAGAAACAAATTTCATTTGTTATTATACTTTTAAGTTCAAGACATTTATACAAAGCATTACAACACTAACATTAAGCAGTCTTAAAGGGGACTCATAAGTATCTATATTCTATATAATAGTACTTTCTTCAAAGTATCTTACAGACATGAATACGGGAGCTTTGTTAGAGCCTAAGTATTCAAACAAACAAAAAAAGCTATTTCTGAAAGTTTTGTTTAGTGACCAATAGTAGCCTGCTTTTCAGAGGTGATCAGCATCCATCGCTGAATGAAGTCAAAATGAGTGCTGGATGCTCAAACAAACAACAAACCAACAAGGCATTGATTTATTATCATTCCTGTCACACAGTCCAACAATCTATACAGCACTACAGACATTCATTAAAACTTCAAAATACCTTGACCAAGAAAAAACAAGAAAAGCACAAACCTACCTGTAGAGCAGGTTCAAATCATTAACTAAAGACTCAGTTGACAGAACACTGCACAAAACAACACTGGCAGCCAATTTAGCCTTTTTGTGATTGCTATCACATGGAAACTTTATTAGCCTGCACAAAAGAATTAAAGAGGTAATTCAATTTCTCTGCCAAGCCAAATTACAAAGAGCAGAGATTTGACATTTATCCTTTTCTTCTAGCTATTCAACTTCTCTTCTTCTTGGACCTGTTTCTTTATGAGTTTAGAGAATAATGTGGGATAAATAAACTACTCATATGTTGCCCCTAAATACGGTTTTTAAAATGCAGTTTCCAAGAGAGTCTTTAGACTTTTCTGAACACCACAACACAAGTGTCTTTCTTTTGTATGTACAAAAGATGTACAACAGCTGCTTGCAAAGAATATTACTAATTATCAAAAGCTTGGAATTTTCCCTGAAGAAAAAAAATACACTTCTCCTGTATTGTCACATAGCTTAATACTTTGTTATTGTATCTTAGACCAATAAAGTTTATGCCAGCCCTTCCAAGCAGCACATTCAATGTAAGTAACTGAATAAAATACTAAATAATTCCTTCCTCCAACATTTTTCCTCATGTTCAAAAATAATGGAGAAGTTGTACATGATTCACTTTTCAGTGGACTATTTAAAAATAAAACAGGCAAGTTGTTGAGAACAGCAGAATTGCAATCAGGGTGGAGAAAATATAGGGAATGATCCTTCTGTTGCTGACGAATGAAGAGGGAGAGCAAGCCTGTTTTCCAGCTCTGACTACTACAGTATGAAAACAAAGCAACCACTTCTAGCATCTATCCATCTAGCCACAGCTTAGTTACCTGTCCTCATCTTCGAACAGTTGGAGAAAAACAGAGGAGACAAGTTTGCATCTCATAAGAGTGAGCACTGATCAAATTATCAAATCACCAAAGCTTCATACACCTTTATTGTCACCAGATTAATATTGCTCAGAAGCAACAAAACAACAGTAGGTACAGTGACTGACACAACACTACCTTTCCCCATATAGAAGCAGCAAGCATTTGCACAGTGCATGAGTCTGCTGCACACCCCCACCAGGCTACTCTGAAAAAGCAAAAACAGCAATCATAACAACAAGTTGGTAGATCTTATAACCAAAGGAAAGACTTAAGAGAAACACTGCTGCTGTTCCTTCCCAGAGAATACACAGTGAAACCCATACTAACAGCCGCCTCTAACTGGAAATATCCCTTGTCTTCAACCACTTTAAAAAAATCCCCATTAATTTTATATATCATTTTACACACACAAATTACTGTACTTTTATTACGTAACAGATTTTGAAAGGGCCCAATAATGCAGGTTTCAACGTAAACTGTTCTTCTTGATTATTTGCACCCTAACGTTCTCACATGCTTCATATCTACTCATTTTCACAAGTACTCCTAGGACAGCAATTTAACTAAGGAAAATGTAGCCCACTCCACACAACTCAAGAACAGACAAAATAATCTTGCCACACAACTCCATCTGAATAGGTAAACACCCACACTCACCTCTCAGAAGGACAAAAATCCTGAAGTATGCCATTCACCTTGAAGAGGGGAAAAATGCAAACACCCTCATCCCTATACACATATCTTCCTCCAGAGTTTGCCTCTTTACTTAAACTTTGACCAGGTAAACAACCACCGCTCTCCTCCCCACAGGATAAGGTCCTTCTTGCATAAGGAGACCCCACCCCAGTAAAATGTAATCCCCTAGATACGCATCACCATAAATTGGTAGTTACCCTCTTCTATGAAAATCCTTGCATAGGTTAAGTGCCCTGCTGCCAAGATAAGTGGCTCCCTATGGTGTCTATCCATCCATGTCCCATAAATCCCACCAAATATCCACCCTGCAGAACAATGTCTACACAGTCTTTTATTCCTCCCCCATAACCCTCCTGTCCAGTTAAACTGATAACCAGTCTCAAGATAGTCATCTCTGTACAGGGTCACTCCCATCCCACTCCATGCTTTTTCTGCACAGAAAGACAGTACTGCCTCCAAGTATTTCCCTGCAACGTCTGTCACTCCCCCTCCCAAAACAGACATAACCCACTCCGTGTAAATTTCCAGGCAAAGTCTATCACAAATTCCCAATTCTCCAGGGCAATTCTTCCTGTTCCCATGCCCAGGTAAATACTGCCACTGTCCGCAAGATAAGACCCTCTCTGCAGTAAATGTCACTCTCCACCAGGAAATGCCTGTCCAAGTAACCTGCTTCCCACCTTTACCCCACCACATAATACAAGAACTAGTGATCGCTCAATGGAAACTAATAGGCTGCAGGTTTAAAATAAACATAAAGTAGTACTTCTTCACACAGCACAGTGTCAACCTCATTGCAATGGGATGTTGTGAAGGCCAAGAGTTTAACTGGGTTCAAAAAACAAGTTGACCAGTTCATGGAGAAAAGGTCTTATCAATAGTTATTAGCCAAGATGGTCAGCGATGCAACCTCATGCTCTGGGTGCCCTTAAACTTCCAACTTCCAGAAGCTGGGACTGGATGACAAGGGATGGATCACTCAAAATTGCCATTCTGTTCACTCCCACTGAGGCACCTGGCATAGGCCACTGCTAGAAATAACATACCGGGCTACACTGACCATTGGCCTGACCCACTATGGTCATTCTTATGTTCCTACAGAGTTGGTCATCCACACATACACCATTCCCCTACCCATGTAAATGCCCAACACAGTATAAGCATCATCCTGCAGGGTCTGTGATTACCTAGGCAAGGGTTCTTGATTGGTAAACAACCCTTTGCTGGACAAGCATCATCCTGTGGTGTGCTGTCACTCCCCCTATACACTCTTGCCCTGGTAAATGTCTCCCCATTCAAAAGGTAAGCATCTCCCTGCAAGACCTGGCACTTCCTATCCCCATGTCCAGGCACATCACCTCTTTCTCTTGATAAGCATCTCCCTGAAGGATCTATTACTCTTACCTCATGCACAAGTACCCAGGAGAGAGTGGCTCACCTCTTCATCAGAATAAACATCCTCCATACACAGCCCTGCCCAGATAACCTTACTCTCAGACTATCTCCATGCACAGCTTGTCACACTCTCCTCCCCCAGGTAAATGCTCTCCCCCCTGGACGAGCCTCTCTCCCAGGGTCTGTCATCCCTGACATCCCAGGGATATATCCCCTCCCGTGCAGTAGCATCTCCCCAGGACCTGTCACCCCCCCCCATCTTGGGAAATGCCCCCCACACTAGCATCTCCCCAGGACCTGTCACCCCCCCATCTTGGGAAATGCCCCCCACCGCACTAGCATCACCCCCAGGACCTGTCACCCCCCCCATCCTGGGAAATGCCCCCCCCACACTAGCATCACCCCCTGGACCTGTCACCACCCCCCATCTTGGGATATGCCCCCCCACACACTAGCATCACCCCCAGGACCTGTCACCCCCCCATCTTGGGAAATGCCCCCCCACTACCATCACCCCCAGGACCTGTCACCCCCCATCTTGGGAAATGCCCCCCACACTAGCATCTCCCCAGGACCTGTCACCCCCCCATCTTGGGAAATGCCCCCCACCGCACTAGCATCACCCCCAGGACCTGTCACCCCCCCCCATCCTGGGAAATGCCCCCCCCACACTAGCATCACCCCCTGGACCTGTCACCACCCCCCATCTTGGGAAATGCCCCCCCACACTAGCATCACCCCCAGGACCTGTCACCCCCCCATCTTGGGAAATGCCCCCCCACTACCATCACCCCCAGGACCTGTCACCCCCCCATCTTGGGAAATGCCCCATCCCCTGCACTAGCATCTCCCTGGGGCCTGTCACCCCCTACCCCGAGAAATGCCCCCCTCCCCACAGGGCCTGTAACCCCCCCGCCCCGGGCCTGTCACTCGAGCCCTGACACGCTCCCCCGCGCCTCGGGCTCGGCCCCCCCCGTCCACGCCCCCATGGCCGGTGCGGCTCCCCAGGCGAGCCCGGGGCTCCGCAGGCCGCGCCCGCCCCGCCTCGGGAGCGCGGCCGGCCCCGAGGTTCCTTTACCGTCTGCGTGCGGCGCAGCCCCGGGCTGGGCCATGGCTCCGCCGGCCTCCCCCGCTCCCCTCAGGCAGCGGCGCGGGGGCTGAAACCGCTACGCCAGGAGCCGCTGCGAAAGACGGGAGCTGCCGGGCCGGGCCTCCGCCGCCTCCGCCTCATCCTGACAGCGGGCAGGGGGCGGGCGGAGCGGCGCGCAGGCGCCGGGGCCTGACCCGGGAGAGCACGGGACCCGCGCGGGCTGGGTGGGCCGAGGCCGAGCGGCGGGAGAAGAGGATAGGGGCACGCACGCCCGGCCCTGGGATCAAGCCGGGGACGGGAACCCGGGGAGGAGGGAAGGCAGGAGTGGGAGATGGGGCAGCTGCCGAGGTGGAGCTGAGACCATCAAGCTGGGGCCTGGCTTTGGGGCCCTGGTCTAATTCTGTGACCACCAGTCATAGTCTGGGGTCCCAGCTCCTGGGCGGGGGCAGCGCTTGATGGGCCGCAGATGAGGAAGCCCCTGCGACCCCATTCCACGGCACTGTTATGGTTATTCTTGCCACCATGCTCCTGACGTATCCGCTGTTGGTTTACTTCAAGGATACTACAGGATTTGTATCGACCGATGGCCTGATGCTGCGCCCTGCGCGTCACCTGCCAAATTTCCACAAGCTTTTGCCTTTGTCATGGGTTTGTTCTGTAGGATCCTCACTTCGTCAAGAAACCACATTAAAATAAACCCAAGCATTCAAACATGTACTAATATAAAATTTGACCTATTAGTTCTGGTATCACTAGGGAATCAAGTGTCGGATTTATTTTAAATGGAAAACGGAGTCACCCTGTGAATCCCCATGACTCCTTTAAAACTTGCCCTAGACACCCAGGGCCAAATTACTGCTAGCATAAGTGGGCACAACTCAGAAGGGGTCTGCTAAAAGGATTGCCTTTTCTAGTACATTAGACTTCACTGCAGTCCCATCAATTACATCCATGCTGAATTTAGCCTAAATACCTGATGCATCAATTTTGGCAAGCCAGCTCTTGCCCATAAAGTGATAGAAAATTAAATTGAATGTCAAAATCCCCAAGAGGAAGAACACCCATGTAGATCCCCATGTCCTCAGCTGTAGGAAGACACTGAGGGGGAAGCCATATGAAGGTCCTAAACTGCAGATGAAGGTGAATAGTGCAACATACTGTATGTAGAGGAGGAGAAGGAAAACACATTCTCAGTGTTAGGAAGTTATTTTAAAAGACTATTGTGATCAAACAGAACAAACTAACCTATTCTATATTATGACACAAGGTCTGGTGCTCAGAGGACATGGATTCGGATTATAGAACTTCATTTCTTTTCTGCATCTGCACATTAACATATTTTATACTATACACTGCCTAGAGTGGGTTATTTTACATATGGATACTGGCCACTAATCCAGCTTCACAAACAGATATGAAAATATAGCTACTGAAACCACCCATCCCTTTGGCAACCTACTCCTTCCTCACCTTTAGCAACTCTTTCTTCCCACAGCAGGTTTTGTCCTAGAATGCTTCTTTCTGCCATTCCTCTCCCATTTGACCCTGAGCTCCTTTCATCTCACCTCACTAAAGACAGGAGAGCACAGCCTGCACAAATAGAGCCATATTTTCAAAATTGCTCAGCTGTTGTTTATGCGCCTAAATAAAAGGCCAGATTTTACAAGTATTTGACACAGTAATCACTGAGTTCTTTTGAAAATCTGGCCCTGATTGTGCGTGCTGAGCACCTGAAAATCTGGTCTCATGTGTCTCAAGGTAGGCACCCAAAAATGGCATAATTCCCATTGACTTAATTGTTGTAGGCTCAAACCCTCAAGGAATCGCTCACTGCTGCAAACAGAAATTCAGATAATCTCCATCTTGTAACCTTATTTATCTGCAGGTGCTTAATCAGGAATGAGTGTAAAATCCCTCCAACCATCCAGATCATCAAAACACCTAGTGGGTCTTATGACATGCTCAAGAACAGTGCTTATACATTACAGGGTTTAATACTGTAGCTGGGAGAAGAGGAAGGGCTGGAACTTTGTTTTCCTGTTCTCCTATCTAGAGCTTGACTAACTTTATAAGTAAGTTTCATACTTCTGCTTTGTTGTCTGCTTTGGAGGGTGATAGGACCTGTCAGGTGCCAAGAGATATACAGTATATAATAGCAGTGTCTTGGAATTTAGAACAATCGGATCACTCCCTCTTGCCTTCCCAAATGTCCCATTTAATTATGATAATTTGCAGTTCTATTGCACTGAGGATCTCAAAGGGTTTTACAAACATGATTCAGCTGAGTCTTAACAAGAGCTCTGTGAGTTAGGTAAATATTAATAGCAGGCTGAAGACACGAAAACAGACCCAGAGTGATTCAGTGGCAGAACCAGGAGTAGAGCTCGAGTTCTGAGGCTCAATCCTACACTTTTAGTTCTAGACAACATTACCAATATTAATGAACCAATCAGACTGCAGCAGGAGGTCACTGACTATTTCCACCACTGAAGAAGATGATAAGATGAAGGTTCCCACAGAATTAATCACAGTCTGGCAGATTTTCTTGTCAGAAACTGCAGTTCTGCCAAACCTGTTTAGCTTCAGAGCCTAACATTGATATTTCAGCATCCATAGAACATGCAGTAGACACAGGATAAAGGGAGACATGGTTGACTTGAAAAAGTGCACTCTGTATGTTAGTACAGATTAGAGATGAGGCTAACACCTCAGACCCTCCCTGCCTAAAATTTGAACTTCATGGACTAACCAAAGATATTAGTTTGCAACTATTGGTGAAACAATAGTAACATCAAGTGACTAGCTAAACTAAACCAAAGTGTGTAGTCCCCGTGGATGTCTACAGGTGAGGCTCAGAGTGGAAGGAGGGAAGGAAAGGAGCTTAGAAAAATCATTCACACAGCTATGTATCTCAGGGGTGTGAAAAATCTGCACCCCTGAGCAATGTGGTTAAGCCAACCTAACTCTCAGTGTAGACAGTGCTAGGTTAATGGAAGAATTCTTCCATCAACCTAGCTACCACCTCTTGGGGAGGTGGATTGTCTCTATGTAGATAGTGTTGATACTGAAGCACCACAGCTGCAGTGCTGCCGCTGTAGCATTTCCAGTGTAGACAAGCTTCAAGACAGAGAAGTGGGATTTTCTTTGGGCTCTACAGAGAAATAAAAGCATAAATAAAAATCAGAATAATTTGTTAATATTTTTATTTCTTTATTCTTTGATAGGTGCAGGGCAACCATCATAAATGTGCTGGGTGTGCAAAACATGACATTTCAAAACACAAACTAGAGTAGTCATCCAGACATACAAGGTCAAGTCCTTAACTGGTTTAAATTAATGTAGCTTCACTGATTTCAATGCAGATAGGCTAGATTCTCAGTTGGCTTAAATCAGCCTACACATAGCATCAAAACTCACATCAAGAGCAGCTCTCAAAGCCAGTATTTATTATAATTTTTATAGTCATAGTGCCTATAAGCCACAATCAAGTTGGATTCCATTATGCTAGGCATGGTACAAATATAGAATCAATGACAGTTCCTGCCCCTTTGATAAAGGAACACCCACAGCTTAGTTCATCCCATCTCAGAGAAAGGCTGAGTTACAAGACAGGTTTTGCAATCTGCCTGCAAGGTCAACAAACTTGGATTCTGTTGCACCAAGGGGAAGTAAATTCCAGCGTTGAGGTCCTCCCTTGAGAATGCTGTGCTCCCAGATACCAAATGAACAAATCCAAAGAGTATCAGCTCAGGCATCCCAGTTGATTTCATGTGTGAAGATCCAGGGGACAATCTTTCACTGGACTAACCACAAATAAAAATGCTGTCATGTTTTATCTTTAAACCTATGCAACAAGGGAAAGATTTAGAATCTGAACATACAGGGACAAGGCATCATGGAGGAGCAGCTATGCATCCTCAACTCAAAATGAAGCCTAAGGGAGCATTCAAAGAAGGCATTAAGCAGCTTAAATTCTGTCAAGTAGCAGCTAATGGAGTTCTCCCAGGGCTGGAAGGAGAGGACCTGAGAAACTGAAGAAAGGAACAGCACAGAAGTTGGTGCGAGTACCTTAACTGAATATTTCTAGACTTTAGATCTTAGATCTGAACTAGCCAATTTTTTACCTTTCAAATTTCAGTTTAACCATCATTCAGAATTTCCTGACTTTCAAACATTTGTTTCCTCAATAACTACAATGTTCTAATAATGTGGTAAATTAATGGTCTATTTACAACATTAGGACTGACTCCTGCAAAAATTTAGTCATGTGAATAACTTTGCTCATCACAATTGTTTTGTCATTGAAATTGATTGTGTGAGTAAAGTTACACATATGTGAGTGTTTGCAGGATTGGGGCCTTAACTCTCTCTTCTACACAAAATGTTATTTGGGAATTTAGATTGGTCTAAGCTTTGCCATGCGGGTATTGGTTACAATTCCCAAGTCATCAACTCTCTTTCCTGCAAAAGTGTTGGGAATTCAGTATTGAACAATTCTATTCCTTGCAACTGTAACTTCTTAGAGAACTCAAAAATATTTTATTAGTTAAAATCTATTTCAAGGTCAATTGAAAAATTATGTTATTTCTGCCTTATTGTTTAAAGGGTTCCATGTGGTACAATTCTTTGAATATATGGAAAGCAGATGAAGCCAAAAATAACATTTGGCAGGCAAAAATCTAGGCTGCTTGCATTGGCTTCAAATCTAGATAGGCTCATAAATATGATCTCATTTGAAAGCTGTGTATATTAAGAAAAGGAGTACTTGTGGCACCTTAGAAACTAATAAATTTATTTGAGCATAAGCTTTCATGAGCTACAGCTCACTTCATTGGATGCATTCAGTGGAAAATACAGTGGGGAGATTTATATACATAGAGAACATGAAACAATAGGTGTTACCATACACACTGTAACCAGAGTGATCACTTAAGGTGAGCTATTACCGGGGGAGGGGACACCTTTTGTAGTGATAATCAAGGTTTCCCCCCGCCTCCCCCCGCTCTCCTGCTGGTAATAGCTCACCTTAAGTGATCACTCTGGTTACAGTGTGTATGGTAACACCCATTGTTTCATGTTCTCTATGTATATAAATCTCCCCATTGTATTTTCCACTGAATTCATCCGATGAAGTGAGCTGTAGCTCACAAAAGCTTATGCTCTAATAAATTTGTTAGTCTCTAAGGT